TTTACTTGGCATGTTCATGCCAAAGCAATGACAATGGCCCAGCCCATTAACGCTTGGTTTATGTAATGAGACAGGAAAGCACATATTAAAAGGTCACAAAACATTTTGTTACGGGGTTCATTCGATAGTTACATGTACACACCATGAATAAAATGCACACAATAATGAAATTAAATTTTGTATGTTTTGGACAGAAATACCGAGGAGAGTATCACATTAACGCTCCTCCCCCCAAGCCAACATTATATATGAAGTCAAGTTAACCTCTTAAATATTTTATTCAATCAAAGCTGTGCCAAAACGACAGAGCAAAGGAGAATATTTGGGTCTACAGAAACAAAGTCAAAAACAAAGGACAAAATGATAGGATACAATTTGCTTCTTCATTAAAAGTCTCCATGGCTGCAAATTTATCTCCTGATCAAAGTTTAATATTACATACTCAATGTTATCTTCCCATATGGAAAGAGTTAATGATGCTTAACAGAAATGACAACACTGTTCTAATATATCAGTGCAATTTGTATCAAGACACAAAAGAAATAAATTATAACCTTAAAACATTCATAATTCCTGTGTATTTTATAAGAGATTCAACAACAGGCAGTGTTTTGAATACAAAGCCCACAAATTATATAAGATTTATGGGCCATATTTGTCTAAAATATTTCTCAGTTTGGTCAATGTTTAATTTCACATGTTTTAAAACTGAACTAACAGAAGTTTAAAATGGTATTTCATAAACACTGAGCAACAAAATTCAGTCCCCTGGCACCATTTTGCAAAGGACGCTTCAAAATCCATTCACCAGAGTGGAATTGCTTCATGTGGAGATGGACAAGAGAGACACAATAGGGAATCCTACAGATTTCTTAAAAGTTAAATTGTAATGTACATCTCACCTTATGTTCAGACTTTATTAATGGAAGTTTTGCTATAGGATCCTCCACTTCTTGTGTATCAGCAAATTCCTCAACTTTTATATTCATCATCTGCGAAAGAAGACGTTACACATGTCTCATTCTATGAACCAGGTACAACTTTCAGTAAAATTAAGTTATGCGAAACCTCCATACCTGATGCTGATCATGACCACGTTTTGTCCACTTACAATTTCAATGTAAAATGTAATAATAATGCAATAATATATGCTTGCAAAATAAAGGGCTAGAGCAAGGATCGATAACCTTCCTTGGAGGAGCTGATAATTATAGCGAGCATCATAAAAGAGCGTCTATATATATCTGGACTGAAAGAATTATATTACATCTGTGGTAATGCATGTGCTGTACAAACAGCCTCAAGAACAACTTAACAAATTAAATGTAAAATGGAATGTTTCATTTCTTTACTGAACTAAGCTGCTGAACAGACTAGTTCTCAGGCAGTCAAGAAATTAGCCTCATATACGGAACCCAAAGGTTTACAGAGTTGAGTACAAAGAACCTGCCACTGGTTGCTATCCTTAGCCACAAGGATCCAGTCCTTGTGATTATATATTACTTCTTTAAGAACTATTTTAATACCATCCACCAAGGGGTCTTATCTATTCTGGTTTTTGAACTGAATTCTTGTATTCATTTTTAATGTTTACATTCCCCACACATCCTCCTTGATTTGATAACCATGAATTAATATTTGATGTAGACAAATGATTAAGAACTCCACATTAAGTGTCTTCTCCAGTCCCCATTATTTCCTTCAGTGTTCCAAATATTTTGCTCTGTACCCAACTGTCAAAAAGCATCAACGAATGTTCTTCCCTTAACCCTTCACAGCGGAAGTCGACTAAATATCATTAAGTAATTCAGTCAATACCTGCCTCAAAGGAAACACCACACATTCGCATTACAAGATCAATTAACTAACACATACTTGAAGCCATCTCTAGTAAGTATGACTGTACATCAAACATGTCGTCATTCCACAGAGCACAAAACAGCAACAATTACCTGTTCAATCAAGTAACAAAAATATCCATCAAAAAAGTAAGAATGAAAGTAAGAAATTAAATTCCACTTGGCAAATAACCAAAAAGAAATTATCATAATACAAATATAATATGGAATAAATTTAACAACAGTAAACACATAACATCAACATAAAAACAATGTAATAGCACAAATAAACAAACAAAGGACATAAAGCGAAATGGACCACATTTGTATACACATGGAAACAAACCTGGCATATAACAAAATTAAAAAAATACTGATAAAAATAGCTTTGCAAACCACTGATACCTTTAAAAAAACACCAAAAACCTAAATCACAAAAACAATTGATAATGCAGGTGCAAATAAACTACACTGTAGAGACTGCACACTAATTATATAGCACAAAGAGATCACACACTTCAAGAGAGGATTAAAGAACATGTATGTTCAATATCGAACAATAGAGATCATCAGGTAATGCACATCATATCTCAAATACAGGATAATCCTATGGCCCCACAGATGATGCTTGGAAATAATAAAAACGGTCAGTAAAGAAAGATGTTTAAACTATCAGAGAAACAGCACATATACTGTACCCAAAACCAAACCAACAGCTGAACGATATCCACACAGTCATAGACTGATCATTGACGCACTATACAAGCAATATTACCAACAGCACACATCCTCCCCCCTTACAAGAGGAGTTTGAAAAGTAATGCGAAGGTTGAAAGAAGGTCACAGTTCAGGTGAAACAAGAATTACATAAGACTTTTTGGTCCAGCGATAACTTCGAACTACAGAGTCACAGGTGATATGAATGCTTTGTTCACTGAAATGACTGAAAGCTCTAGTTTCTAGGAAGAGAATGTGCAAACACAGCATGCCAGAAAATGTGGTTTGGTAAACATGGGCTCTGAGCTACGAGAAGACTTTACTGTCTTAATTCAACATTTATTCCCACTTTCAGTATCAGTGAGAATAAATGATATGAATGTGCAAAATTATTAAGTGTGATTAACATTCATAACAATAAAACGAAATTCCAACATTCTGGTGAATACCACAGTTGTAGATTTCTGGGCATGTCTCGAATAGTTCATACGGTGTCCCAACAAAATCAATGCTGCACAATAACTACTGTCCTTACTTCATATTAATTTTTGTAAATCCACAAAGTCCAGTCTCTTTTTGGCTTACATACAAGTTTTATTTCATGTTCAAACTATGGCTACTTTTAGCATGGCCGTTAAAATTATACTTTTATTATTCCTCTTTATTCAGCCATTACAAAGTTAAATTAAATTAAATTAAATCCATATGACCTCTACTTCCCAACTTCAACAGTGACTTCTAAACATTCATATATCATGTGTTTCATCCTTACCATATCTGGCATACAGTCGAGGCTGAACTCCGCTGCATTCCCGAATCAAGATGGGAAATTTAGGGTTTGAACGTTTTAAATTAACATAGTATGTCTCAATGAAGTCCCTGAAATAAATGTATAAGGACTATTAGATAAGTCTCAAGGAATCCATTTTTAATGTTAACTATGCAATTAATGTAATGTCATTAGTCGCCTTAAAGACACAAAAAGGAATATATTAGTTACGACTCAGACTCTGCTGGGAAATATTTTGTCTTCATTTTCAAAGTCTACAGAACTTACTCAACTGTGAGTTTGAGTAAGTTCATTAAGATCCATACATTTTACCCTTTCAACTGTATCGGAGGCTCCAAACCTTTCACGGGGACACACTCTGCCTTTCTTACTGACTTGGAGGCAGATACGTGATAAATTAAGGCAATTTATTATAAATACAAGCAAAGAGCAAAGCAGTCCTGCTACATGCAACGTAGGTCACTTAGAGAGGGAGAGGAGGTATAGCTCCTACCCATTCTTGACCTCGGCACTAGATGGGGGTGAGTGGTCAGCATCACGCTCTGTATAAATGCAAGTGCATACAGTTCTACCACAAGATTTAATTCAGTCCATTTAAAACAGTATTAAATGTAAGGTGACCACTTGTATTCCTCACGCCACTGAACTCAATGTCATTTTAAATTCGTGACTGCACGGGTTTGGTTGGATAGGCCGTTTTGTACAGCGTCTTCACAGTTCAAAACTGCAGTTTTATCAAAATGTCATTTTAGAATAGCACAGAATACAATTTATTTATTCCATGTATCCTTCACAGGCCTGAGCCAAGGATGTAGAATATATCATAGGACAAATACGATACCTGTTTCTAATACAAATATGAATAACATAGTTACGACAGTAATTTACAGTCAACTACAGTATTATTGCAAAAATAATTCACAAGAAAGCATGATCATTGTTGCTTGCATTTATGAGATTATTGAATAGGTTAATTCCAATGTAGTACACTCCTTTTTGATATTTATTGATTTTAGTGTTTGACAAATGAAGGTTATATCTGTATCTTATACTTCTGTTGTGGGAAATTTTCCAATGTTGTTTACTATGACAAGCAACAACATGATTAAGAATTCATTGGCTAGTAAAAAATAATAAACTTCTTAAATAACTCCCTTTATGAGGCTCTGATTTTATTGCCTGCCAATATTCTAGCGGTTTTCTTTTGAATGTAAAATACTTTTTCGCTGTATGTTGAGTTTAACCAGAAAATAATTCCATATGATGGACTGGAAGTAAACAGAGTGGACTAATTTTAAAGTGTCTGTTTTCACGAGTGACGTGCATAGCAAACACAAGCTGAGCTTGTTTATGGAATACATAATGAATATGTGTTCTCAAATTTAAGATATTGTTTATTTGTAAGTGAAGAAATTTATTTCTGCTTCTT